ATTTTGATGAGTAAAACAAAGAAGAGTGTGGGGTTAAGATCAGTATTAAAAAATAAACTATTAATATTAGTGTGGAGGAAATGTAGCTTCTTTGTTCATGTGTGCTGACTCACTGCTAGGGATGCTGTCTGTGTAATGTCCACAGACACTGGTGGACGAAAGCAGTGGACTCTAAGGGTTGTCAGTTCTTTCCGGCAGTGTATTCTTTCTGTCTTGACAGATGGAGCATAGAAACTTTGTAACAAGCCCTGAGATGTGCTGTAATCACAGGTTGGCTGCGTATGTCCCCATGAGACAGTTTCTGTGGCATCTAATTGTAAACAGAGCAGCACTTAACATGGAAGACACAGCAGCTCTCACGTCTGAGACTTAGTCTCTGAGTTTAAATGGTTAAAACCCAGGAGCAGTGTTGTCACTGTCTTCATTCTACCAAACACTGCAGGGCTGCACTTAGTTGTGAATTTAACAGGAAAATGTATTACTCAGTTTCTTATGAATTGCTCCAACTTTTTAAAGAAATTCTACTGATAAAATATGGTATTTCAACAAGACAGTTTTTCTCTAGTATTCACTGTCTGCCCGGAAATCAGGTGTTGGTTGCATTTGCTCTATAATAACGAAGTTGCATGCACATATATACAAAATGTAATGTTTGATTCTGGGTATTCAGATGTAATGAAACTGAGAGAGTTTCTATTTCTTCAGAGAAGGTGAGAGGACAGAGAATTACAGAATAAACTTATAAACACTCCACCTATATTTTGAAATTAATAAAAGGCTCAGATATGCAGATTAATAATACAACTGTAAGGATTTTAACACTAAGATAAAATGTCTTTTATTGTAAAATAAATTTTTATATCAACATTAGTCTCTGCATATGAAATTATTTAATCATTGTGAAAACTCAAATCTGTTTGTTAGATATGTCAGATATGATGCAGTTTATTTCTTAGAAAACCAAACAACACAAATCCCTTAGTGTTAGGCTTGTTTGCATGGGGATAGGGCAGTCATTTAAAAAAAAATTGTTTCTATTTTAAACTCTAAAATATATAGTCCCTATATATTATATCATTTAAATTTTTATGATTACAATTTCCCTTTTTACTGTTGTACCCTTTATATTTTCATGAGCAGTTCTATATGTGGAAGTGAGCACAAACTTGAAAGTCTACAGGCCAGTGAGCAGGCCACAGTGCTGTGTGAGCAGTATTGGAAAGATGTTCAATTTGTTAACTATAGTTAACATCCACTGTTGTGGCTATTGCTTTAAATATTCATAATATCCCATTCAAAATAATGTATTTCTGTTGGTGGGCAGGCACATTGTTCTCAGTCTTACTCATATCAAGCAGTCCTCACATCTTTTCTGTCCAGTGCCTGTGGTTCATTTAGTTTTGTAGCTCAAGTATCTCAATATATGGACAAAAGATGAAATTTAGAATTTCTGTGTTAGCAGACTAGAAGTAGAGAACTTCTTTTATCAGAGGAAAGTTTTCCAAAACCCAGGGAAACAAAGTCCTCACAATCCAGCATTGTGAACTGAAGAAATGCTGACTTTTTGCTCTGTGATGGACGTTTAGACCTGGGGACTCTGTGATGGAGAATGCTCTACAGAATCATTTTTATTTCTATTCAATTTAATTAGCACCACCATGCCTCTAAGGAAAGATTATAAACCCCAAGAAGTCCTTGAGAAAAAGCATAACTCTTGAATACTTAGCTGGGGAAATACCGTGTGCCAATATTTGCCAGTTGTACCTTAGTTATATTTATTTAACAAATTAAGAATGCTGTGTTGTGCTTATATTAGTATGGTAAGGCTAGTGTAACAAAATACCACAGACTGTGTAGCTTAGAAATAATTTTTCCCTCCTAATTATGATGACTGTAAGTCCAAGGTTATGGTGCCAGCAGATCCTTGTTTCTTTGGCTTATGGACACCTACCATATCCCACTGTGTCCTCCTCAGTGGTCTTTCCTCTGTGTAGAAGAATCCTGGACCTTCCTTCTGTCCCACATGTCCTCGCTTTTGAGGGCATCAGTCATATTGGAGGAGTGCCCACTTCAGTGTCTAACTTTAATTTAGTCACAGCTTCAAAAGCTCCATCTCCAAATATAGTCAGATTCTGGGATACTCATGTGCTGAGGTGTTGGGGGTTAGGACCTCGACACATGAATGTTGGTGCCTTGTTTACCCAGTAACACTGTTGTCAAAGATTCTGAGCACAAGTGCTTCTTGATGTTGATACATTTGATAAGGCAGTTTGGAACTTTAAAATTGCTCTATCTAAAAGAAAGAAACAAAAGGCAGAGGTAAAATACAGATTTAGATTTAATATTGATATAAGTAATACATGTGTGAACTTGGAATCCAGATTTCTGAAATTATAAAAGTGATAAGCAATTTCTAGGTTAATTTTTATTCTATAGGTAATTTCAATATATCACCAAATGCACATCTAATTTTAAAAATAGATGATTTTAGTCTTACCACATTAATAACATTTGTAAATTATAGTAGGTTATAAAATCTTTTCTATATTTTCATAGGAAGCAGACAGGCCAGATTTTATTTGATTCAAATAAAATTCAAAGTAGTCAATTCAGAATAGTAATTTCTGCATACCCATGTTTCAAATCACTCTACCACGTAAACCATGTACTAGAGAGCTGGAGACTTCTGGGAAATGAAGGCACAGCACCCGAAACCATTGCCAGTGACTCTCAAAAGGATAAAACCTAACGAAAACAGCAGTGTAGTTTCAGACCTGATGAAGCACATGTACCTGGTTAACCAAGGAGCTTGGCTTGGGGTGTGGACTCAGGCTTTGTTGTGTGCATGGGTACAGGAAGGATGTCAGGATGCAGGCGTTGCGAAGGAGGAAGGAGAGCTGCACTGACTTGTGCATTGGCATGGCTCACGTGATAAGCTCCAGGAGATGTTTGGAGAGTGAATGTATTTTGAGTGTTCCCCGTGGCTTGAATTAGTAGGGTGGATTTTCTTTGTTCATCTGGGGTTTCTCGCACATGAGATGAACAAGAAACACACAGTTCTTGTAATGCTCAAGTTATTGCTACATGTGTGAAGTACATCGCTTCTCATTTTTATTTTTTGTAAGTATTCAGAATTTGACAGCCTAGTATTTGAGTGCTACATAACAGTCCAAGTGGCTTGGGAAGTTTTAAATTTTCTTGGCTAATGAATAAGTGTTGAAGGTATAGAACAAGATGTTTTCTGTGAGTCTAATGCTTTATCCACAGAAAGACATCAGTCCTTTATTTTAAACAAACACTGTTTCTTCAGTGGCCACCTAATATTTTATTTTCTGTTACTTATTCATTTATTCTTCAGAAATTGGGCTCCATGCTATCCAGCTTGACCTTGGCCACCTTGTCTTCCTGCCTTTATCTCCCAAAGCTCTGGGATGCTTGCACCCACCATACCTGGCCCAACCTTTTGGGATTGCTACAACACCGTTAATCCCTACCCTAAATCAGGAAAAGACCATCAGCCCCAGTGATTGGTTGTATTGGGCACCCTTCCACTCCACCTGTTGCATCTAAGAACTGGCTGGTTTCCTCCAAGTTTAACAGCCTGTTAAGCTCCTGGAGAATCCTAAGTCTTTGACTCCCTCTGGTATGTTCAGTAACCATGATGCCAAACGAAGTGTTTTTCTTTTTGTCATTAGAACCCACTTCACTTTAAGAATCCTCAGTTCCACTCCCTGGAAATGACCAAATGACCTTTGTCTTAACACAGTTCCCATTCCCACCATGTTCCTTCTCCATCTCTGCAGTAACCTATAGTTCCTGGGTGTGTTGAGCACATCATTGTTTATCGAGTGTGCCACAGGGCCAACTCCATGGAAGAGTGAATGGAGTACTCTTGGGGAGGCTGTCCCTGTGTCCTGGTATACAGGTTTTCCCCTCATTGGAGCTAAATTAGATAATGATTAGGTATTGGGGTCACTTGATTTTAATATTATAAATCATGCCTGTACATTACAAAATTTTTACAGTGTGATGACAAATGTTAGTTTGTGGACCAAACATCCCATACCTTCTCTGATTTTTGTTTTCTGACACAAGCAGTGTTTTTTTTTTTTTGAGCAAATGTTTATTTAACAAAACACAAGAATCTAAGTTGAGCAAAGCATTCATTCCAAAAATAGCAGTATGGTTGCAGCAAGGTGGAAAATAGCAGAGTGGGTTCTAGATGCTCAATTTTAAAGAAATATTTAGGACTACGTTTGAGGTCAGTATACGAGCATCCAGAGAACGATAGACAAGACCAGTTCTTTTCTGCTTAGATGTGAAATACTTGAATTATGGCATTGCAGACACACGTTAATCAGCTCTCTTCTTCTGACCACCATCACTGGGACTCCTGCACTATGGCCCTAATCTCATATACAGGTCATGTGGGAACATAGAAACTTCTCGGAGCAAAAGTTTAACCAGTGGAGGCTTTTTCAGAGACCATAGTTACGATTTCGTCTGCTCTAATTAGATTCGGAATGCACAATCCATGAGAGGACAAAGTGCCTTGCATATAGTCCTGGTCTGGGGCAGTGTGCTCCATTGTAGCTGGCTTGAGACCTGCAGAACCAATGTTTCCTAGACGCCTACTCTTCCTTTTATCCAGTCAGCTTCAGTATCTCATACCTAAGCAGCAATCACTTATTTCTCATCCCTAGTGTGCCCAGCTTCTTCATTCCACTCCCACATTAATTTCACTCTCACACATTTGTAACTAGCAACTCGGGTATTGAGAGAGATTGATGTTTCAAGGTACATATAGTAGTGAAATCCTATAGGTTTCAACTTTGTTCTAAGTTCTAAAAGTTAGTTTTGAAAATTTCTAATATTTGTGTTGCTGACATGGAACAAATGGAGGAGGTGATTTCTTTAAAGCAGTAAGGGAATACTTATGATGACATATTGGTTATGGTCTCAACAGTAAGCAATTCTTAAGACTTCCTTTTTCTTTGTAGGACCTCTTTGTTGTTCGGCATGAGCTGGCTATCATGAGACTAGCTGCCTTTATGGGCATTACCATGTTAGTTGGAATAACTGGACTCTTCTACACACAACTGACTGGCATCATCACAGTAAGTGTATCTTCAGTGTAAACTGACATGCACAGACAGATGTGTGACTGTGGACCTAATTCTAAAGTTATGTGACATTTACAAGTTAAAGGAGAATATTGCCTACAGCTGTTAATTGTGTGTAAAGTTTACATCAAATTTTGCATCCCTCTTAAAAATGAGCAGAAGATTTTTATATGACAGCAGACCTTATGCTTATAGCCTTACTAATGACATGTACTTCTAGCGTTAGCGTCTAGCATGAAGTCATTTTTCTAATCTTACTTCCTTTTATAACACACCAATCATTTTGTTTTCCTATGTTACAGATAAAACTACTTTTTCCTTTAAGTTCTTTAAGATCAATACCCAAAGATAGAATTGCTAAGACAAACATTTTATTAGTAATTAAACCATTTCTTGGATGTCCTAATTGATTTATTGATGTTCAGACTAAATAAGTCATCACTGTTTAGACAGTCTGAAAGACTGTCAGCTCCTCCTTTTATATTTGTTACGTCTTGAGGGATGTCAAGTCTATTTTGACATTTCTCTACATTGGATGCAGTCATTTTTTATACCACTTAATTGGAACAATTACATCAAATACTAGACAGTGTCAGGTACTGTTCTTTTCATGGGTGCATTTATTGCATGCGTTTCTTAGGTCAGTTTGAGGATATGGTAGAAAAGCAATGAGAGATGAGACTTACTGTAGTGTCAGCCATTTTTTAGAGTAATCATACTCATCCTTTTATCATAACAAAAGAGACTTTAAAAACTGAGAAAATTCATAAGGATTGAAAAAAGAATACTCCATTGGAGAAAATGTAGGCCTTCTTAAATATTATGGGAAGGACTATAATTTGACTTAAACTGTTGGAAGGGGAATTGTCAGTGCCTATCATAATTTAAAATGTACATTCCTTTTGACCAACTTTGTCAAAATAACCTTGTAGATGTTATGTATTTGAGTGTATGTACGCATGCTCACAGGGGCTGCAGTGTTGTATTCTGTTTACCATCAATATTACCTACCAACATATAACGAACAAACAAGAAAACCTCAACACCTACCACTAAACAACATATTCAAGAATTGTGGTACTGGCCTGGGGATGGATGGATGGATGGATGGATATGTGTGTGTGTGTGTGTGTGTGTGTGTGTGTGTGTGTGTGTGAACTAGAATTGAGAATGATACAGCCCCTTGCTGTCTATAGAGAATTGGTTTCAGGATGCCCTATGGATACTAAACTTCACATTAACTGTTAAAATCCTTTATTCGAATAGCATAATATTGGCACATACATCTTTTATATATTTTAAATCATTTCTAGATCCTTTATAATACCTAATGCTATATCAATACTATGTAAATTGTTACCATACTATACAAATTGTTTAGGGAGTTAAAATGTAGACTGTGCTTAGGTTTCATCTCTGGATACGTTCTGGACACCTTTTCATCATATCTGGATGCACAGATCTCTACACTGTGAGCCAGTGTGAATTTGGAGATAGCATTAGAGCAGTGGAGAGTCACAGGGGATTGATTCATTCTGTGGACATCATCTTTCTCTTTCTACCCTTGTGCCCCCCTCATCCAAAAGGGTGTAATTTCCTTAGGGAAGAGTTTGGTGTTTCATAGCTTGAATGTGGGTCTATTTAATAATAAATAGGCAAAACAAATACTGGCTCCTATACTTTTACTAAGATTTCATAGAAGCAGGGTTCCAATTTTAATAATTATTTCCCCATTGTTTTCTTTGACCTGGGATGAATATTCCTCCCTTCATAATTTCATTTCCAGAATTAATGGACTGTAATACAGTCAGGCGTTTCAGTAAACTGACGAATCTGAAGCAGAATTTTAAGGGTACTTTATTTTCACATTTGATTTAAATTAGGCTTTAAGTGTATGTGTTGTGCACTGTAACTGAATTGAAAGTCATGTTTACAAAAGCAGTTGGCTTTGATGCAGTTTCCTTTATATAGGGAACAAGTTAACTTGGCAGCGCTCACTAAGACTTAGCTCTTTTGCTCTTGTATCTGAATGAAGTAGACAGTGGTGCTGTTGTCAGTGTAGCTGACGTCAGCATTAAGGTGCAGCAGTGCCAGGCAGCAAGAGGAAGTCCATGCTGGTGAGCCCCGTGTTGACAGTGTGGGTTAGTCAGACTGGTCCTGTTACCATTGATAGGAGATGTAACCAAGAAGCCTAACAGCTGGCCAGTGTCCCTGGGGAGGTTCTGACAGGGACCTGCTGCCTGCTGTGACACTCCTCTGACAGTTTGTCTAAATTCTGTGTGCAAGCATTTCCGTTTCCTGGGCACAGGAGTTTGTGCGCTTGTGTGAGCTTCTGATGTCCTCTTTGGAGCGCAGTGCATTTGCTGCTCAGTGCGGTGAAGTTGGGGTACGGTGAGCTGCAGCTTTAATAAAGCTAAGCGATTGTTGCCTTGGCCTCACAAATGCTCTTGGATTCTAGTTGAATACAAAAGATAATTTTTAAAATTTTTACAGAGAAAATATTTCTTATACCTCCAACCCTTGTTTGATTTGCAGTCAATATTTACCTAAATATAGAAAGAATTATTAGTACATGGTGACTCTGGTGGTTTAAAGTAGAATGGTTCCTATAGACTCATATATTTGAATAATTAATCATCAGGGAGTAGAACTCTTTGACAGGATTAGGAGAATTAGGAGGTGTGGCCTTGTTAGAGGAAGTGTGTCACTATGGGTGGACTTTGAGCTTTCAGAAGCCTCTGTCAGGCTCAGTCAGTCTCTCTATATTCTATATATCAGAATATAGAACTCTCAATTACTTCTCCAGCACCATGAATGTTTGTGTGCTGCCTTGCTCCCCACCGTGTTCTTCTGCAAATGTAAGCAAGCTCCAATTAAATGATTCATTTTTTAAGAGTTGCTGTGGTCCTGGTTACAGCAATAGACCTGTAATTAAGATGGTGACTTAATTTTCACTGGAGTTAATCTTATGCAATGAAAATTATCTCATGTTCAAAATATCAAATCAGATTAAAGGAGGTTAGCTATTAAGTAACATTTTATTAATCAGTTAATAGATTCTCTTGCTTTTTAATACGTATTCAGAAATATAGACTTGGAATTGTCGATCTTTATAATTGAGTTTTGCCAAATATCAGTGAATCAGCGAATTGAGTTCGTGTAGTCTGTGTGCAAATCATGCTTAGCATACTTAGCTGCAGCCAGCACTGAACATCTTTCTTTAAAGGGAGATCTCTGGCATTTTGTTTTCCTTTCTAAGGGGTGTGTGTGTGTGTGTGTGTGTGTGTGTGTGTGTGTGTGTGTGTTTCTAATACAGCCTTCTCGATGGTAAAATTATGTTACATATCTCCTCAATGCTGTCTTAAAACCCTAAAAATATTGCCCAAATTTATTATGTTTCTTAGATGCTTTTCATGTTCTATGTTAACATTGGATATATTTCTTTGTATGTGGATAGTAATAATTTTATAGAGACTAGTTTCTCTTTTTTGTAGTAATCACAATTATGCATGGAGTTGAATAACTTGTGTTTCTGAGCAGAAGTGTTTCTATACCTCACTTCCTCTTTACTCAGTGTGATTTGTTCAGGGACTGCTTCAAACAGTCAAGTGAATGTAAAAGCTGAAAACAATTTGTGTTCTGATAGGGCTTGTTAGTAGGCATTTTTTCGAGAAGTTGATTTCTTCAGCTCATGATCTAAGTTCACATGCATAGTGAGGTTAGAAGACGTGTAGATTTTTTATGTATTGACTTTTGATCTTTGCCAAAGGAAGCCAAGTGTCTCTCTCACACATTCTGTTGGTTCATTGGTGATCTCCCAAACCTTAGTCCCAAGGCACATTCAGGTCCCTAACTCTGTGTTTACTATTGATAACCAGAAACTTCATTGGAAGTCTAATTTTGATGTTAAAATATGAAAGTAGTTAGGTTTGGGTCTCACTTGGAAGCATAGATTTTCAGTTCTTCCATCTGTTTTGGTGACTGTGAAGTCACCAATAAAGCACTGTTTGCACAGTCACCCTCTGTGGCCTGTGTGTGCCTGTGTGATCACAGCCACCCTCTGTGGTCTATGTGTACCTATGTGGTCACAGTCACCTTCTGTGACCTATGTGTACCTGTGTGATCACAGTCACCCTCTGGGGGCCTGCATGTGTGCCAGTGTGATCACAGTCACCCTCTGTGATCTATGTGTGCCTCTGTGGTCATAGTCACCCTCTGTGGTCTATGTGTACCTGTGTGGTCACAGTCACCTTCTGTGACCTATGTGTGTTTGTGTGGTTACAATCACCCTCTGTGGTCTATGTGTGCCTCTGTGGTCACAGTCACCCTCTGGGACCTGCATGTGTGCCTATGTGGTTTCTTTGTGTGTATGTGAACATCTTTGATGATTTATTAAAGACCTTGCCATCTAGCTGGTTACTCTATATAAATAGATGAGTAAATGAACAATGGTTTATATACTTTCAAGTTTTTGCTTTATGAATAAATTTTAAACCCCTTTTGGTTGTAGGATTACATATATATCCTCAGACATTTTATATTTCATTTTAAACTCCTATAAACATAATTTGAATATTGAGATATTCTTTTTAAGCATGAGGAAGTGCTTAATAAAAAAATAAAAATGAGGATTCTTCAGTCATTGAAGATTCACTAGGAATTTTAATACATACTGATCTATTTAAACCTAACAAAACCTTAGGAGGTAAGCATTCCTAAGTGGTAGTTGAGGTATAGAACTTTAATTTCTTCCCGATTATATATAGCCAGATGATGGTTTGATGGAGAAAAGCAAAGAAGTCATTTTGGAAAGAGGTTTTCAGTAGCTATAAATGTAAAACTTTCTGCCTCTGCACTATTGTCCTGTTCTTGATGAAATGTTTATGTGAACTTTACATTCCAAATAAAAGACACAGCTGGTCCTCTGTTAGTGATGGATGCTGAGGAACTGCCCATTTCTAGAGTAAACTGGTGAGTCCTGGAGGGCAGGAATGGTTAGGAGGGCTTCCCTGCTTTCACCTTGAAAAAAAAAGTAAAGCTAAAGAATTACACTATTTCTGATTTGCCGAGTTAGTTCAGTCCTGCCAGGTGCTTTTGATTCTAAAGTGAAATGGAGGTCAGAGGGTGCACTGCTCTTGCAGTGATCCCAAATTTGGTCTGAGTACCTCCATGGGATGGCTTGTAACCACCTGTAACTGTATCCCTGGGGATCTGACACCCACTTCTGGCCTCCATGAGCACTTCCATTCACATGCGTACCTCCCCTGTTCCCACCATACACACACAGCACATAACTAAAAATAAAATAAAAAATTGAATGTACTGCTATTTCTGTACTAGTTAGCAATCAAATGAAGCTCATAATGTTAGAACTCAGAGACAGAGCAGGTATATGATCATGAACTAGAAAAACTTCCCTAAAAATGTTTCCAAGGCTATATTAAGTCAGTATTGAGTCATAAATTAGATAACTATGTGCAGCATAGAGGCCTAATAGCCAAGGAAACCTACAAGAACAGAGTTGAGGTGTCTTCAGGGCTGTGTCTCTGATGGACGCCTTTACTCTCATCAGGTCTTAACGTCTGGAATGGTGAGAAAGTCCTTTTGGAAACTGTTCCAGAGTATATAGGCCCAAAGTTAGGGACTCTTCTACCTCTGAAGACAGTTAATAGAACCAGATGGACCGTTTGACTTTATGTGTTGTTCAGTGTGTCTAAGGCCTCTCTCCCAGACGTTCTTTTCCTCACAGTACAGCATATGTGTCCAAGTGGTGGTACTTGGTGAGAGTGGACTCCAAGAGAGCGGTTATCAGCCTTCTGTGCTCAGAGCCTGGCTTCTCAGTCCTGCTAGCCTGTTAACAAGAAGGCTATGGTGATAAATTCTTGCTTTTCATACTACACTCCAGTTCAGTTTTCCAGTAAATCTATCACTCCCTTCTGCTAAGAAATCCTTTTCTCTCCATTCCAGACACAGTCCAGTCTTGCAGTCAAACATAATTTTACACAGAATCTGAAAGATCTTTTCTTACACCAAAATTAGCCATAAAGAGAAGACAACAGGCACACATGCAGGCAGAACATTGCATACATAATAAATAAATAATTTTTTTTTTTAAAAAAAAAGGAGAAAACAAAGTTTTGGCAGAGAGAGTAGGGAAGATAGTGCCTGTCTCTGAAAATCTTGCTGGATTTACTTGATTTTTTTTTAAATGAAGAACTCCAGTTTTTAAAACGGTGAGGCATCCTCATATTGCTTAGTTGTACAAGCTGATTGGAGGATTAAATGTTTTGATCATTAGATCATTCTGGGTATAAACATTTCTCAGAACTAATTGTAGCAGTGCCGAGTAAATATGTGATTTTCACATTCTTGAAAGAAGGGTTTATTCGGTGGCTCTCTGTGTCTGTATGTTGTATTATATTCCTTCTGTAGCGTTAGTCTTGTTGGTCTTCTCCCCGAGTGCCACTGAAAGGGTTGAATATTTTCAGTGTGCTTAAAAAAAATTCTCACATTTGTCTACATTGTAGGAAAAAAAAAGTAGGCCGAGTTTAGCAGTTGTGGGCAGCATGGTTTTCCTTCTCCTGCAGTGGCCGGGTCTGTCCTAAGCAGCGGGGCCTGTTTGTGAAAGATAATGTCTGACTCTGACCCCTGCTTGCTGCTTCCAGAGTGAGAGCTTACCATGCTCTGCTGCAGGTACAGACTGTGCTGTGTCTGTGTTGACAGTAGTCTGGATGCAGAGGTAGAGAGGGGAGCATTTGTCGTTCTAAAGAAAACAGTGGCTTAATTCGGGCAGCCTCGCAACACCTATTTATAGCACAGTAAACAATTCATCCTGTGAAAGACATTTAAGGAGGAGTGTTGTCTGTCTCCTGAAGTTGTCCGAATACTTCAAAGGTTTCTCTATATGAAAACTAAATTTGGAGTCTTTAAAGTTGATTCTTTTCAGAACCATAAGTAAATCTACTGAGTATGGATTCTATACAGTAAAAGTTGTCCCCAGAATTAGTGGTGACAGTAGATGGACCCTGCCTTGCCGGTCCTCACGTAGCTTTCAGGTGTAAAGGTGTTGTCAGTGGCTGTATTTCAGGCATTCGCCTGTGTTTAGATCAGCGGTTCTCAACATACGGGTTGTGAGTCCCTTCACGGGAGTCGTATACCCAATATCCTGCATATCAGATATTTACATTATGATTCATGACAGTAGCAAAATTACAGTTATGAAGTAGCAACAAAAATTATTTTGTGGTTGGGGTCAGCACGTGAGGAATTTAGGGTTGAGAACCACTGCTCTGGAGATAGTGTGCGATGACTTTGTCCTCCTTCCCTCGGCACTTTGGTGTGGGCTCCTTCGCCGTCGCATTACATGTCCACACCTGAGACGTTACTAAATGACCATAACCACGCCTGTGCAGGTGTGAGCCTGAAGCCCAGCTTTCCTCTAAATTCTTAAGAAATGTTCTCATATATTTGTAGTCTGTGTTTTCATTTAGAATAAGTAAAATATTGTTTTCAGAGGAAGTTATGAAGTACAATAAAAAGAAGCTTGTTTTCAACAGAATTGTCAAATGCCATGAACTTCAAGGCATAGTAAAAAAAACTATGTATATAGAAGATGTAGCAAGTCTGCCCCCCCCTTTTTTTTTTTACAAATCTTCAGAAAACTCTGTAAATAAAACTACTGTTTGTTCCTAGTCTTCTAAAACCAGATTTACTTCCCCTTTTAGAGGCTAGCTGCTTGTTCAACATATCTGACAGTCATCATAAGTGTTCATCTAGCATGGCTAAATGTAAGGGCTGTGGACTAGCACCACTGAAGGAGCTTCTGTGTTTCTATGAACAGTTCTGATTAGTATTGTTATTTTCCAACGTCTGTCATGTGTAAGTTAGGAAGGTCAAGTCAAGGGAGAAGGCAAAAATTTATCTAATATTTTTGCAGTATTGCTTTAAAATGTTCTCACACTCTAAATTTTTACCTAAATGTAAGATTGTGCAATTTGTATATTGGGTATTTGGATCTCATAACAGTTCAGCAGTATAACTGATAGGCCTCTGTTATTACAGTTTGCATTGTCATTCTCAGACACCATCCTCTGCTGAAGTGCTTTCCTTCTATGCCTGCATTACATCCTTGCTAAAACACTCAGAAGAGATTGTATTGTTGTAAAGATTTGGTTTGTTTGTTGGGAAAAAAATAAATGTTTTATTTTCTGACTTATATTTTTGTATTAAAAGACATTGTAACATGATCAATTTATAGACTGCCTTATTGAATTTTGTTATTTATAGAAATCTTTAAAACCCAGAGTCAGTTCTACTCTCTGCATCTTGGTAGTTCTGTACTCATTGATGGTTTTTAATTGTTATTTGATATTCATTTATTTTTAATACATATTTGTAGACAGTTGATTTGCATGGAAATATTAGGCTTTTACAGAATTTCCAAGCAATCAGATGTCCTCAGAGGTTATAACTGAACGCAATGGTTCTCATAGAGGGTTTTGATACTTTCGTAGTTCAGTAGTTTTTTTCACATGATGTAATGTTGATTTTATTTCCCTAAGGGGACTCCAGGTTGTATAGATATACAGACTTGTTAATCTTTAGAATATATTCTGAATAGACATAAATATTCTGTAAGACAGAAGTATTGTTACATATGAATATAATTTTTCTATTTTTAATAGGATACAACATCTATTGAAAAGATGTCAAACTGTTGTGAAGAAATGTAAGTATAAAGTCTATAATGATTTTATTTAAAAATAAAAACAACTGATCACCTTTGAGAATTATGTGCATATGTTAATAGTAATGATGACTTTTTCTTTTCTTTTCTTTTTTTTTTTTTTTTTTTTGGTGCCCCGCCTGAGACCTAAGCTAGACAGGCATATCCCAGTCTTACAGTAGGGGTCTTTCAGCCATCAGAGTTTTTAAACAAAATAAGTACTAATCACTCCAGTTTTCTGACTCACAGAAGTAAGTTAAATTATTTGTTGTAAAAGTACATCAAAAGAAATTTGCTACTGTGTTGTTGACACACATTCTGTTACCCCGAGCTCCTCCTCTGCTTCCTAAGTTACCCTGGGTTGATTGACGATGCAGATACAATATCTGCTATCCGGAGCTGAAGCACAGCTGCATGCCACATTGAAAGAAAGCTGTATTTGTGATGCTGGGACACAATGCATCAGAGTCCAGTAATGGATCCCCAGCCAACCTGTATTGTTTTAGCTGACTGAAGTGCACCATGGGAGTGCTGTCTTTCACTAATAATGCTGTCTTCTGTAGATCGCGGCCCCGAAAGCCATGGCAGCAGACCTTCTCAGAAGTTTTTGGCACTCGTTGGAAGATCCTGTGGTTCATTCCTTTCAGGCAGAGGCAACCACTGCGAGTTCCCTACCACTTTGCCAATCACGTCTAAACAGATGGATGGTGGGCACAGATGGGTCCTCCATGCTGGAAATGCGTTACAGGTTTTATGAGAATAGAACTATGACAGTCTTCAAGTCAATTAAAATCCACCCACCAATCTTAGGCACCATAATGTGCCCCACGCTTTATTTTAATAGTGATCTTGATCCTGTTGTGGGGCTAATACAAGATCTATATTTAAGTTTTAAAAGCATGTTTACTTTCAAATTAGCCTTTCACCGGGATTTCTTTATTAGCTTTTGTTACTAAATTCAAAAGGCAGTGATTGGGATGAAATAATTGTACATAAATTTCCTTCACTACTCACAGTATTTTAAATTTTAATTTATAAGAAATTTGAGATGTTTAATGTTTACCTTTAAATAGTACTAACCAAATTTGAATTTAATTCTTCAGGTTTACAAAACTTGATATACTTTCTTAGATGTAAATTTTCTTTTTTGAATATAAGTTAAAATGCTTTTCATACTTCCTTTTCTATGTGCTGCAGGGTTTTTAATATGCAGTGTAGGGTGAGCAACAAAGGGCAGTGATTGCCTGGGAGCAGCTCTCTGATGCTTCCTTCCTCTTTCCTGCTCATCAAAAGCGAGATATGACACACGAGTGTAATGCACCAACTACTACCTTATTATAAAGGAGAAATTAATTTTCCCTTCTGCTGCAGTTATTGATTGCTGTTAGAATGTTTGCTCCCAGGAGAAATTTGTGACCAGTCAGGCATATATTCCTGTTTTACCCTAAGAGTCTAATGACTGAAAAGGATAGGAATTTTGCAATAATTCCAGTTACTTCTTCAAGTGCAGTTATATCAGAATGCAGATGTTTTAAAATGCTTGTATAACTGGATGGTGTGTAATACACAGTATATAAAGGAATACTGTGTTTTAAAGTATGTATATTTTTACTTATCTGCCAGTAGATCTAACTGTACACATTGAAAGTTTATATATTATATGATAAATACTGGTCAACTCATATCAAAGTTTAAAAGTAGATCATTAACTTTATATACCAGTAATCACCCAGGTTGAAATTGAATTTTCATTGCCCAGTTATAATTTGCATCACCCTAGAGACATTTTTATTATAGCTGATGTCAGGAAATTATCTTCAGATAGAATGATCTATGGTAGTGATGGTCCTTGACAAACATGGAACCTTTTTGTATGCGAAGAAGTTTTGTATGATTTCAGTTTTTTATTTAGAATACTGCATATCCACATGTTTGAAAAGTGTGTGCGCTAGTGACCTTTCCCCTGAAAATGATATTGAACAAATCTACCATTCTTGAACCATATACATACTTTTTCTGCAAGTACTTATAAAGTAGGGAATCATAGCTGGGAAATACTGAAACAGAGATTATTATTGTTAGCCAGTCAGCTGTACTGTGACTAGTTCTTTCGGATACTGTCAATGTCTCATAAACTAATAGAATAATCTCTTTTCGGGAATCTTAATACCGTATTTTCATGTTCTAATTATGTTTTATTATTTAAAAGCTTAGAAGTGACAGATGAAAATATTTATTGGTGCTAAGACATTTAGTAAGTTTAATATAAGAAATATTTATAAAGGTTAGGAAACATAAAATTAGTTTGTTTATTTTAGGCAAAGGGGTTGGATTTTGTGCAAGCTGACTGACTAAACTGGCTGATGATATATTCTAAAAGGAAATGGTGTATATATAATGTAGGGAGATACAAGTTGATGCCTTCGGCTATATGTATTCTGTTCACATAAGACCTGGAGCATTCATTGCAGAGCCAATGAAGGCCCAGTATGGAGCTTTGTAGACTTGCTTCAACTTTGGAGTAGCAGTAGCTCTGACATGAGATAATGGGGATGTTCTCTTTCCCGTGCTGGGAAAGTGTGGGTCTGGTTTTCTTAGGTTTAGGCACATTCTCTTCCCTTTGTCTGTACTCTCCCAGGTCCTGATACCCCTCCGCAGTTTCTTTCAGTTATTGTACTACAAACCAATGCACTAGTTTGAGCTACAGAAATGCTATTATTAATGTATTTACATAATCTATATTGCAGTATATCTATATATACTTATGCAGTATTGTCAAATGTATATGTCTACCCCCACAGGGGTTTGTAATCATTACTAGATTCCTAGAGAAAAGCCTGTTGGCCACTTCCTAGGGATTAAGCTCCTATGTTCTTTCTGCGCCCTCTTTTGGCTAATTGATGTAATTATTCTGACTCTAGAGACTTTTACTATCCTATTAGTGGGTTGTAGCTTCAATCTGTGAACATACGAGAGGTACACACTTATGGGAACATATGTATAAAAGTGTAAAGTTTTATGAAAATTGAAAATGAATGTGTTACTGTTGGTGATGTTTCTTCTAGGTGAATTGCTTGACTTCATGTATGTATATTGTACACTTTACTGTCAATCACAAAATTAGATTAGGACAAACTATTTCATACTTTACTTTAAACCTTATTTTGGTAATTTAACTGGTTATCATTATGAAAACTTACTTTAAAATTACTATTTTATTATAGAACAAAACATTTATTACAGTTACTGTGGCAACCATGTCATCCAGTGTGTTTTACTGGATATCTAAAGAATACAATTAATTTTTTCAGTTCAATTTTGGAATAGTTCCACACATATACAGACTCAATTGCCTTAAAATGATCAATAATTGATTAACAATACTATTTTTTCTTTGCTTTTTAAAAAACTTTCTCAGTCAGAGTTAAGTCTTTAGATACATGTGTCACTCTGAATAGCCGTGGGAATAACTCCATGTGTGGAGTGGTAGAAAGCAGCTTAGCAGGAGATTTCCTGTTAGTCTGTATATTGCATTGAAGGCTTTATTTGTAAGTTTTAGCCAAATGTGTGTTCAATGATATTTTTACATTAGCAGAATCATTTCTTGGGCTTCTGGAGTTAGAGTGTATTACAGGCTGCAGTTGCACTTGGTAAACAATTAGGGTTGGGCCTGCAAGGTGGCTCAGTACATAAAGGTATTTGTTGTACAAGACCGGTGACCAAATTGGTTCCAGAACCCTTTTAATGGTGAAAGTGAAGAAAAAAACCAAAAACACATTCCAAACCTGATTCCGCAGAGTTGTCCTCTGACCTCCACAAACATGCCTGGCACTCATGCCCTTCCCCATCATCTCTCTCTGTCTCTGTCTCTCTCGCACATACAAGTTTTAAAAATCTAATTGGATAAACTTAATGTTGGCAATAATGAACTGAGTTCAGAGTCTTCTAAACATTAAGCAATCTATTAAAGAGTCTTAGTACTTTGTAACAAGACTTAGGTTTCAGATTACTAAACAAGCTGATGTGACAGAGTGCATGCACAGGATACCCTGGGTTCACGACCAGGGTAAGGACAGAAGAGACGCAGAGGAGCTGAGTCGAATGTCTCAACTAACACCGGAGCATCTCACTAATGTGTAGAGGTGGCTCCATTAAGAACGGCAGCTCATTCTAGCCATTCTTAATCAGACTTCAGGCTACTTCCATACAAGTAATTAACTGTTTTGCGCAAAAGATGTGTGAATTCTAAACATTAATCACAAAGACTCATATTAAGAACACACTTCCAAAACAGGAGGTACAAATGAATTTAGATAAAAGCCAGATAGTTTTCTGTATTAGATCATGGGTAGTTGAATGGTCTTCCATGTATTGCTAAAAATTACAACTTGTCTTGCAGTGGCTTAATATGGCACTAATATTCATTAGCATATGCTAATTTTGTCTAGACTGTTCTCTGACTAGTTCTCTTGTATGTCATGTATAAGTAGATAACCTAGCTACAGTTCACTAACCTATAGTACTTCATTATGTAAATTTTGAAATGGACTCTACTATACATAGATATATTGGGAATTTATTACAAGCATTATGTAATTTACTAATAATTAAAACGTTAGACTTTCATCCCCCTCTACTGATGCTTTAAAAATTACAAGTATTAGCAAATGTAGTTAATAAGTTCTATAAACTTAGTGTGTTGTACTTGCTCGTATTATTAACCATGTAATTAACTAATGAGTGAGTATATGATTTAGTACCCACATCTGTTGCCTTCTGTTGTAGGTACCATGCTTGGAATTTATCTACAAATAAAAATTTTAGTATAATTTATGTTTAGCTGTTCTTAGATTCTATAATATTCTATAGCAGAACATGGGGAAAGATTAGATGCTGTTTACTTGAAGTGTTTTATAACAGTATTGTGTCTGACTATATGAACCAATATTTAGCATTTACACTACCTTTGTGATGACTTAACATCAGGAAGTGACTTTTCTCACTTCTTCCATCATCTTTCTGCATTTTTTTAAAACCAAAATTATTTTTAAAAACCATTTTGTTAAAACCAATAACATTTTTATCAGTTCTTTAGGTGTGGCAATATTACCTGCCAGTGATAATTTGGAACAAGTTATTATTAGTAGTAGTAGTAGTAATAGTAGTAGTAGTAGTAGAAGACAGGTTTTACTGGCTTTGAACTCAGAATCCTTCTACCTTTGCCTCCCAAGTTCTGGGATTACAGGCATATGCTGCTGTGTTTGGCTCAATGCTTAAAATTCTTAAGTCATTGGTATTAGGTATTACTGATTTCATTATCGTATCTTTTACTTTCCTTTTGTCTACCCTAGAGTTCAGGTACTAATGTAGCAAATAGCCAAAACCTTGGATAAAGAAAGTAGGGGACATTGGTAAGATAGAGAGAAGGCTGCATGGACATAAACAATCAGCATCTCTGCAGAAGAGTTAAGACTGGGGCCGTGATAGCACAGACTCCCCTTGCCAGCTCCTCATTCCTAGCTAGCACCATGTTACTGTAAGAGCCCTTCGTTCTGGGGAGCATTTGGTTTGAGTTATTTAACCTCCTCTTATATTGCTCTTTCTCTTTAGCTGGCCATATGCTCTTGAGAGATTATTTTTAATTTTAGATAATTGTGTAGGATATGTTGACCTGCATCATTTTTAGCATGCACATGTTAAAATAACATGGAAGTGCAGATGTGTAATACAGAGGAGAAGCGATAGGATGGCAGTTTGAGAGAACTGGAACCCATTTAGGAGTCTCTTATGGCAGAAGAAAAATGCCGAGAAAATTCACCCGTTTAGGTATGAATTTCAGCAGAGAAAATCACCAGTTAGGTATGAAGGCTAGTTTACGCTTTAAAGATTGGGCTCTTTTGCTGATATTGGGACCCTGGAGGTCTTCCTTGCTGTTGGCATTTTTAATTCATTACCTCGTGTGTATACCAGTAGTGCTTTCCACACTTGCTCAACTGTTTAATTAATTACACATATATAACATTTTCATCTCAGTAGCTTTATATGTAAAGATAAAGCCAGAGCAGCCAGAACCAGGCACAGCTCCTCTTGCAGTTCTGCTTGCCGCTTCCACAGTGTCGTTTGTGGACTGTCAGTCAGAGGGAAGACTTGTGCACGTCCTGTGAGCTTTATGTCCGAGCCAGTGTGGGTGGATGGTATTTAACCAACTGGTGCCTGAAACTCGTGTTTTACAACCTGAGCAACTGAAACATCCTGGTGCTATTTGCTTTAGCTTTGAGTTACATTCTTAATTCTTGAACCAAAGAGTTGATTTTCTTTTTGCTTGACTGGGGTTAGTTTCTCATCTGTGTCTGAAGAAGTGAACAGTCAGTTGTCAGCGCTTACTTTCTGTGAATGCTGGCTGAGCGCAGTCCGTTGAAAATGATTCTTATTTAGACTTAGCTTTTATTCTTTCATGCGGAGTGGTACGGATTTTAATTTTGTATTTTAATATAGTGTGGTTACTTTATAAGGTATTTTAATAGGCTGAAGCTACTAAAGTTATTGAATCACTTTCCCCCTTGGCTTCACTTTGGCAGAGAAGAAAAGCTTTTATTTCTATAAGCAAAGTATTCTGTTAGACACTTTTGATGACTACTCAACCATATGCTAAAATACAGGGCAAATAATGGATCCATTGTGAATTACAAGTCAAGAATTTAACATGTTTTTTCTGTGTGTAAGTATAATCCTTAATGGCTTTAAAGAATGATGCAGGTATTTTCCTATTTTGAAAGTAAGATGAAATTAAAGGACATTTAAAAAAACATAAAAATCACTCACACACACACACGGAAATGCAGAAGTACCTTAAGTTAAGTGAGCATCCTTGTAGAAGTTGAAGTTTGCAAAAAAAGCAGTCTGGATGCTGCTGCTTACTGTACATGAAAATTAGAGTAAGATTGTTTTACAAACTATTTTTCTTTTTAGTGATTTATTTCTCATAACTGGCAGAACCCAATCCTGTGGCTGGGCTTGTCCAGGTGTAATACTGCTGCATGTGATTGGCTTCCCTCTTCTCCCCAGGACCTCTACAAACAGCCGACAGTGTCTGCTGAAAACTGGGGCTGCAGTGGCTGGTGCCTCGGGCAGTGCTGGGAAAGTAGACAGTCACATTGAAAGTGCTTGTGTGTCCATCAGCTGTGTCTGTGTCTCCTTTAATCTTGATACAATGTGTGGTTTTTGCAGTGAATTCTGAATGAAAAACAAAATCAAGTCTAAAACTTGAGAGGTGAGGAGCTCATGTGCATGAAGTGTGTCCAGATGAGCAGAGAAAGGAAGCAGGGGCTGGGTGGGGGTGGGGGCAGCACTGTGTCTCTTCTGAGCTGTGTTGCCACTGGATAGATTCTTAATAATCTCACTGCATGTCCTTTGTCCATAAGGCAGAGTGGAGTCATTTTTTTCCAAGTTGTAGATAGGAACAAATTTATCACTGCTTTCTGTGTCTTTGTGTGATTATTAAAAAGCAAAGAAAAAATTAACATAGATTGGAAAAAGCAACTACTTCCACCCCAGTCAGCGGTACTCAGATAAATGGGTTGCAAGCCCAAGGACAGAATAGGCTCTCGGGAGAACGGTACATGGACCACAGTAGATGAGCATGCTCTGTGCCCGGGCTTAGTCTAGCAAGTATAATAACCACACAACACTGGTGTCATTTTGAGGTGCCTAGAATTCGCTGTCAGCCCCAATTCTCACAGATTCCTAAATGAAAGAGCCGTCTGGAGTTTTAGTAATGGTGTTGCTGCAGGGGCCTAGGCAGACCCTGTCTTCAGACTTGTGGGTGTGCTATCATTCAGCTCTAGTGTGTGTAGTCTGAAGGCCATTCACCTGCCTCATCCACTGGTTTCTTTGTTGCCCTAAGTCTTCACTAACATTTCTATTGCTGGTGATAATAAGGACAGAGTGCATGTAGAAGTCAGAGTGCTTTGAGAGCGGGAGGAAGCCACAGGTGGGAGCTGAGATGGACTCATTTGTTAAGATGAGAAGTCCACCCTGGCTCTTTGAATGAAAATGAACTATGTGTGTATCTACCTTAAGAACAACATTGCTTTTAATTTATTTTAGTGATTTTGTTTTATTCATGTAATGTTCTGTTTTCTTTGCAAATTGCTTTTAATTTAAATTGTGGAATTTTTACTTCTCTTGAAATGTACTATGTACTGTATTTTTAGAAATCTTATTTTTAAATAAATATTTTTGAAAAACATAGGATTGTTGTAATCCCCATATCTCCTTATTTATTAAAATCTACCCCAATTCCGGATTTTAGAACTACCATGTTTTAAAAATCCTCCCTCCCCAAATGTTGTGCCATTGGGTAAGTATTTAAAATTAGTGGCCTTGGGCTGTTCTTCTACCATAGTGACAGAATTCATTACAGATTCAGGAAAAGCTAGGTATACATATTGGATTTAAAATTGTCACTATTCCTAAGTAGGCGTATTATTTTAGAGATCTGATTGCTCCATTTAGTAGCTGCCTAATGTATTATTCTAGATGCTATTTTACAGAAATCCGCCTAGTGAAATGTGAATACAGTTTCATTCTGGGCACTGCTTTACGTCCTGAGGTTTGGAGTTACTGAAAGCTCAGGACATTACCATATGCAGACTTTAAGGACTGCTGCTTGTTGTGAACACAGAGAGTCTCTTAGTGAGAATGAGCTGAGCACAGATGTGTCAAGGACACACAGGTGACCTGCTAGGTCGCCCTGGGGATAGAAAAATGAATAACTTTTATCCTTTGAAATTTTTACTTTTTTTTTCCTTAACAAAAAAGCACTTTTGACAAATACTTTGTACTAACATGACTTGTAGATGAGACTATAAATTTTGCTGTATTTGATGAATCAAACAAAGCACTCATTGCCTTCTGACAAGTTCAGAGACTATTAGTCTTACTGGTTCCTTTCACATCACTTCCCCCCCCCCCCTTATTCTAAATGGCATTAGCTCAGTGGGGATACATTACAACATATTTTCATGGTTTCGCCTTGGGCCTCCTCAATATTCATAAAAATTATTGCAAATTCTTTCCTTTTTTCTTTTCTTTCTTTTTTCTTTTTCTTTTTGATTTTTCGAGGCAGGGTTTCTCTGTATAACTTTGGTGTCTGTCCTGGAACTAGCTCTTGTAGACCAGACTGGCCTCAAACTCACAGAGATCCGCCTGCCTCTGCCTCCCAAGTGCTGGGATCAAAGGTGTGCGCCACCACAGCCCAGCTCCAGATGCTGGTGGTTTTTTACATGTTATCTTTATTGATGTTTACTCTACCCTAACTTTAAAGGGAGGGGCTAGGGAGATGGCTCCACAGTTAAGAGCACTTGTTCTTGAAAAGGAACTGAATTTGGTTCCCAGCATTCACATCAGGCAACTAATAACTGGTAACTCCATCTCCTGGGGATGTGACACCTGCTGTCTGCAGGTGCCTGCATATGCGTGCTTATGCGCAAAACAGACATACAAAGAGTGACAAGTATAAGACAGAAAGATGTGTATGTATTTAAACCTGAACTCAACATGAATTAACAATTTTAATTAATATTTTTGTGAAATATAGCTGCCTTCATAGAAAAAAGTTGGTTTTACATTGCTTTATGATTTAATCAGTTACATTGTTACTTTGTAGTCTGAAGAGACTTAGTCTTGTGCAGAGAATGTGGTTGGAAAAGGAATGGGTATTTTACCAGCCTCTTGAGGAAGCCGAGTATTCTTTTGTATGATACAAAAACGCAAGTGTGTCCCAGGTATGGTGGCCGTCATCAAGAATACAAATGACAATTAATGCTGATGCGGATGTGGGCAGGAAGAATCATTATACACTGGAAACTGTTGCAGCAACTTTGGAAATCAGTCTGGAAGTGTCTCAAAAAACAAGAAATAAAGCTGTCATGTGACCCAGCTACAATATGTGCCCAAAGAACTGTCACTCTCCAGAGATGCCTGCTTGTCAATGATGCTTACTGCTGTAGCCAAATTCACAGGCAAAGGAAACAACGTAGTTGTCTACCAACTAATGAATAACAGAAGTGTACATACACAATGTAGTTTTATTCGCCTGTAAAGAAAAATGGAATTTGCAGATAAACAGAAGAAACAGACCAAAAAACAAACAAAACAGTATACTGGTTGAGGCCCAGAAGGGCAAATGCCACCTCTCATCTGTGTATGAGTTCTAACTCTAGTGCATGTGGAATCCAAGAAAGTAGGAAGTGGACAGTGGTGTGACGGGGATTCTGGATAGGAGGGCGGTAATGAGACACAGGCAGAGGGAAATAGACAGGGAACATTAAGGGTTCAAAGGTTTAAGCGAGAAGAAGGTGGAAGGATTGGGGAGATGAAGAGGTAGTGAGGAGGTTAACCAAAATGAACAGTATATAGAAAGCCATTTGGGAACCTGTTGTCTTGTAGTTCATATAAATAAAAAAGAGTTGAAGCAAGTTAGTTTACATGGGTGATAAAAACTACCTCTAGAAACAGTGGAATACTAAACAAATAACCAGACACCTTCACAGGAACTGGTCAGGGAGGTCCCAGAGGATCCCAAAATAACGAAGCCCTTGTCAGTCCTTGATTTCTAACCAGAACTGGAGGCTGAGACCCTTGCTGAATTGCCATGTACCTCAGTTGCAGACAGTTGGAATTAGCTGGAAGCTTCCTTCCTGTTGGTCAGTTTTTATAGGGCCAGATATCTGTAGGCTGCTGGGGGTGCTGGTAGGGGAGGCATCAATGGTCTGACCCAGTTGTGAACCACTAACCCAGTGTACTAGGCAAGATGTGCCTACCCATACAGCAGTGGCACAGCTGTTGGGAGTGTTACCAACTGCCCTCTGTGTATTTAAGGCCCACTCCACAGAAGGGAGTCCATGTCTGGTCCTGTAAACCCAGTTAATAATTCATGCCCAGGGAAGTCATAAGTCTAAGGAAGAAATTTACTACTGTTATCTAACTAAGTTGACATAGCATCAAACTGCTGTCCAAGTATCTGTTTATACATATACCCTGTCATGAATGCAGAGACTAAAGGCTGCCCAAGATCCTGAAGGAGAACGACAGTTTAGGGCTAAAATCACCCCATCTAAGACTCATTACAGAAAAGGGGGAGGGAAATAGTCAGAGCCAAAGCTAGTGTGGAATGCCAACCTCTCGATTCATACAACCATTGTAACCATGAACTCAAAGCTGGCCATGTGCACAAGAGTGGCCTCGCCAAGAATCCATGGAAGTGAGAAGAGACGCGCGGCTCTACTCTCCAATGCCGAACTATTTGTTGAGTACTGATAGGTTGTGGGAGAGGGGTCATTGCCTTCAGATGTCTGCCCCATGCTGAGGCTACCCAGCTCAGACAGACAGCTCCCAACCTCCATCACGCAGGTGGCCACTAGTTAAATTGAATGTGAGGAAGAGGTTGTTAGGGATGGATGAGGATAGACAGGGAGGAGGGAGGCAGGAGAGCGTAGGGGTTGGGAGTGATCAGCATGCATTATGTATGTTTGTCAATGAATTTCATAAACCCACACATAATCCATACATAATAGTTTCTTATAATACTCTTTAAAATCCATTGGTCTTATTCTCTTGGGAACGTTCGTCGCAGAAAATAAATTTGACTGGTGTCACCACTGTTCCTGTCAGAAAATTGGGGAATACTGGAAACTGCTGAGCTCTCTAGTGGATGTAGAAAGCTTGAGTTGCCTTGGTAGCCTTCTGCGGCCATTGGTTTTTCTTGAAGGAACAGTTAACCTTAGCTTGTGTTTGAGAAAATACCCACTACCCAAGTAGGAAAAAAAAAAAAAGAGTTCTTCAGTCACTGAGTGTTGAGGGGGTTTGACCAGCTCAGCTGCGTTCACAGTAATACTATTGCTTTCCTCAAGGCCGGGCAGCCATGCTCCCAAGTTCACCCAGAGCGAGCGCCTTCTGCGCTATCACCCACCTCGGCAGTGTGGAGAATGTGATCTAGATGGAGGCTTGATACAGCGAATGGGTTTGTTTTATCATCGAGGGCATTGAATGAAACTGACTCGCTGTTGTTGTTGTTGTTGTTGTTGTTTTTAAGATTTATTTATTATGTATACAGTATTCTGCCTGCATGTGTACCTGCACCCCAGAAGAGGGCACCAGATTTCATTATAGCTGGTTGTGAGCCACCATGTGGTTGCTGGGAATTGAACTCAGAACCTCTGGAAGAAGAGTCGGTGCTCTTAACCGCTGAGCCATCTCTCCAGCACCTCGCTGTTGTTTTTTTTTAGCCTACTCTGTTCAAATCGAATTCTTTTGACTGTTTAGGGACGACAGTGGTGGAAAACAAGAGAAAATATGTATTTGAGGCTTGATTGTATTTGCTCTCTGTTTCAGTGTGACAGGAGACTTTGGCTGCTGTGGGCTGCTTTGAGCACTTAGAAGTGCAGCGTCCCTTCCAAACCCACACTAGTTAGCCTTGTTATAAAGGCAAGAGCTGAAAATTCATGACAGTTCTCTAAGACAGCAGAGTCATCAGGAAGTTGCCAGACAGTGCAGATGAATGAATGCGTTCGGATGCTGCTCTAGGCTGACCAATTACCCATAGAGCAGCAATTACGTTAGCGTGCAAGGGCAATTGGAGGGAAAATTGGACCCTGTGGACATCCAGCTGAGCAAACAGCACTGAGGAAGGATAGAGGATATGTGCTTGGGAAAAAAATGACATCCAAGCTTGCTTATAAAAACATTTGTCTCGGTCACAGCACATTCTTTGTGTGGCCTCTCATTTCTAGTGCTTTTCCCAATTAGTCCTTGTCCACAAGTGAACAGTGCCTTCTCTTCAAGATCAAAACCCAAGCAGTAACATTTTCCCTTTTCTTTTTCTCTTTCTTTATTTCTTTTCTTTTCTTTTCTTTTTTTTTTTTGTAAAAATGCTAAAACATCCAGAACAGGGAAGTTGGGATGTCCACGTTCAGATGGCACTCTGGTCATGCATGTGACTCCCTAGTCAGCCAAACTGGGCATAGCCTGCATATCTATCCTCAACACTGAAATTCATCATGCTTTTAAACTAGATGGGTCCCCTAGATCTAGTGTGATGATTCTTGGCAGAACCTGAATATCTGGGGGTAATATGACAGGGATGCTTTCTAAGTCCACTTGGGAACTCTTGAGTGTGTAATTGTTTGGTAAGCAGTGATCCCCAGGCCAGTGGTATATTCCCTAAATGGGTAAGCTGTGGAGTTGTAAGG